CCTGCCCTCCCCGCCGTGTGGGGTGCCTGCCCTCCCCGCACGCTTCCCCGATCCGCTGGGGCCATCTAGAGGGACGAGCTGCCTCCTGCACAGAGCTGCGGCCCGGCAGAGCTCCTGCCCGACTCCCCGGGCTCCGGCACTCACTGTGGTGCAGCCAGCTGGTGAAGGTGAGTGAGCAGTTCTGGACGTCGAAAGGAAAGTTGTAGATGTCCAGGCTGCAGGCAGTCATCACCTGGATGGGTTTGAGGTTCTGCACCTCCCCGTGGTGGCTGACGTTAGGGGACGGGACGTGGGGGGGCTTTCCAACATCCACACTGGGGGACGGCAAGGGACAAAGATGTGGGCTGGGGAGCATTCTGGGCAGGAGTTCCTCCTGACGAGTGGTGTTTCAGAGGGGAACTGCCCAGGAGCAGGGGGTTTTGCCCCCTGTTCTGCTTTTCTGGTGGTAACTCTGCAGGCATTTCTGCCTGGCATCACCTCTGCGCTGCCCAGGCTGCTGTTTTCTCCCAGCCCTAGAATTGTCTGTGTCCTTATCCCAGGACCCTCAGGAGCCAGTGGGAACACCTTAAATCCCTATAGAGTAGGAAGGACACCAGCTGGTTTTGTGGGAAGGGCCAGCAGCTCTGCAGCTGCCCTTGCATTGTGCTGCCTTCACAAAGCCTTTCCCCAGATATCTGGATCCCACCCCCAGCACGGCGCGGGTAATTACCGATGGTTGCGGTTAGCCAGCATTGGAAATGGCCCAACTGCTGAGCTGATCCCCATCTGCAGCTCCCTGATGCAGAGAGGCTGCCAGCTCTGTGCCAGGAATACAAAGCGCGGGACAGCACGTGCCTGCAGCGAGTGAGGTGGGTCCAGCCCCAGCCCACCTCCCCCCAGACTTCAGCCACACTCACAACTCGTTGATGAGGATGTCAGGTGCCCAGATGCTCTCCACAGGGAGGGAGATCTGTGTCAGGTTGTCGAAGTGTGCTGGGTCCCACCTGAGGAACTCATCCGTCCAGTGCTGGGGACAAGGGAGAGGGGTCTTGGAGCATCAGGTCCCTTCCACCCTTCTTGCACCCAGAGCCCAGGCTAGCACCAAGCCATCTTCCCTCTCCTCCCAAGTGAGGGAAGGCTCATCCTCCAGCTATCACACCCCCGACGGTGAGAAACACGGAGCACGAAAGCCAAGCCTTGAGGTTCATGCACTACAGAGATCTCATCAGCCCCTGTGATGGGTTCCCCCTCACTGCTCTCCTGCAGGGTGTCATGCCTTTCCCACAGGAAAACCTGTTTGCAGGGCTGCTTGGCCCCAGGGGTGCCCAGCAAGGGAGGGGTGAGGTATCACAGCTATTCACCTGCCTGTACCATATGTATGTGGTCAACACCTGGTTCTTCTCATCCTGTGGGAAGAAGAGGATGCAGTGTCAGAACAGGGCGTTGGCACCCCAGAAGATGGGCGGAGAGCGCTGAGAGCGTGCTGCGTGCCGGGTCCTGCTGCCCTCACTGTGGACACGTGGGACGGGACTCACCACGCTGAGGATGGCATAGACCATGAGGTCGATGGCCACGGTGGTGGTTGTTCGCCAGTCGCGCACGGGCCGGGTGCCCTTCTGGTAGTGAGCCAGCAGGTAGTGGTTCAGGCGGCGCAGGGCGGGCTCCGAGGGCTCCAGCGCCCGGGCCCCGTGCGGGGTACCTGCGAGCAGGGGGAGGGAGGAGAGGAACACTGCTCACTCTGGGGCAGGTGCTGTGTCACCCTGGGGTGTGCCATGAACCGGGGGATGCTGCTGGCTGCCAGGCCTCACGTAGCAGTTGGGGGTTCCCATCCAAGTTAAATAGGAGCATCCTGGTGGGAAACAAGCCTGGCCACCGCCTAACCACCACCCTAATATCCTCTGCTGTGCAGGTGGTCGGCGCTGTGACCTTCTCCAGCCTCAGAGGGCAGACATCAGCCTCCACCTCTCTGGACAGTGCCAGGACAGCAGCAGGGGACCATGAGGGCCCCAGTGCCCCTAGGTAAGTTTCCTACCACTCAGTCCTTCCAGGGATGTTTCTTTGCTCAGCAGGTGGAGGTGGCGAAGGTTAGAGATGAAGCAGGATGCTAAATTCATTTATTAGATACCCTGGTGTTTGTTTCCTATGGAAACAGTCCCTCAGCTGGTGCTGGCAGCACTGGCTGAGGGCAGATTTCTTGCGGCACCGTGTCCTCGCTGCCAGGCAGCCGGAACACTGCAGCCAGGCCAGGGCAGCAGAGCGCTGTGCTCGCTGTGCTCGCTGTGCTCGCTGTGCTCGTGGCTCTGCTCTGCAGCACGCCCAGCCCCGGAGTTCAATTCCCACATAATGGAAGAGACTAATTGGAATAGATCTGCGGGAACTTGGGAAAAGCTACTGGAAGGGAACTTTAATCTGTCTTTTAAGCTAAAAAAGAAAAAAAGGAAAAAGAAAAAATCAGCAGCCTCAGCCTCTCTGACACTACAAGAGACTGGTAATGCCGGGGAGCCAGCCGGGCACACAACCCTCACCCAGGCAGGTGTGAACTGACGGAGGCAGCGAGCGAGGAGAGAGGCAGCAATTAGGGTGAGGGGAGGAAAAGCTGGCGCTTTAATCTGTCTTTTAAGCTAAAAAAGAAAAAAAGGAAAAAGAAAAAATCAGCAGCCTCAGCCTCTCTGACACTACAAGAGACTGGTAATGCCGGGGAGCCAGCCGGGCACACAACCCTCACCCAGGCAGGTGTGAACTGACGGAGGCAGCGAGCGAGGAGAGAGGCAGCAATTAGGGTGAGGGGAGGAAAAGCTGGCGCTGCCGTCATCACAGGGCAAGCAGCTTGCCGTCATCACGGCTGGGGCCAAGCAGCCCTTCCTGTTGCAGCTGGTAGCAGCTGGCTCGCACTCGCGCTCCTCCTCGCACCCTCTCCTCCTCCCCACGCCCGTGCTGCCCAGCTTGCAGAGGGAGAACTGCGCTGGGTTCACCCCAGATGCTCTTTGCATCTTCGTTTAGGAGAGGGAAACGATGCACGGATGACAAAAGCTACCTGACCAATCCAGAGATCCGAGTCACTAACCTGCTGAAAATTTCCAACTGTGCTGGTGCAAAACAGCACAAGAATTTTTGTGTTATCTCCCAGGAAGGTTAAGCAAGAAAATAACAATGATAGTGAGGTAATATATTGGCAGTCGGGGTTTGCACTGTGCAGAGCTGAGATTACAAACTACAGGCACCGCATCCTCCCCAAAACCCAGCTCCAGTTTATGAGGGATGAAACATTATACTGGGAAAAGCCCTTGATTAAGTGGGGGACTCGGGTAGCAGCTCCCAGGCAGTGGGGTGCAGGGAGGAGACCCCCACGTCTCTTGCTGTCCTCAGGGCTGGCTCTCAGCACAGCTCCAGAGTACCTCACCGAAGAGCCCCCAGCACAGCGCTGGGGTCAAGTGCCACATCGCCTCGCTGCCGGTGTTACCCAGGCAGGATGCACCTCCTGGCTCCGCACCGGAGCTTTCAAACGCTCTGGCCTCTCCCAGGTATGTCTCTTCCCAATACCATGAAGGTCTCCCTGAAAAGCCACTTTTGCCTGCTGTGCAGCACTGCTTGGGTTTTGGTAAAGTGTTGCACCGTGGTGGGAATACCCCACTCTGACCCAGCTCCCCAGTCCTGCCCACAGGTCCCTCAACTTACCTGGGCTCTGCAGCATCGAGGCCAGTGGCAGCAGGGCCAGGAGCACCCCGAGAGCAGCAGGAGTCATGGCTCTGCTGGCTGCAGCCCTGCCGGCTCGGAGGAGTGAGCGGAGCAGGGAGGCAGGCGGCACTCCGTGTGGCTTTCCCCCTGCCGTCGGGTTTTTGAGAACGCCCAATTAATCTCGCAATCAGCCTCTCCTGCTGCATCAAGTTTCAGGCTGGGAGAATTCGAGAGGGGCCCACCCAGCCACCCCGCCCTGCTGGCTCCCTCGGGGCTCCCCATCCCTGCCCAGGTGCCCTGGCTGCGGCAAGGTGGGTTTGGGGGTGCAAGCACCATGCCAGTGTGCAGCAGGAGTGTGGGGTATGACAGAGCGGGGAGAGGGTGCTGCAGGTGCCAGGGCTGCACCAGGAGATTGTCAACAGTCGGAAAGATGGGGGAAACCCTCGAGGGGGAAGGGGGTCTGTCCCAGGATGGGGTACTGGCACAGGGTGCGTTCCCATCAGCAGGGGAACAGGAGGCTCTGGAGGTACCGAGCACCCCTGAACACCCTGTGGTGGGTGGCTCTGTCCCACTGACAGTGACGATGCATTTGCTGTAAATTTCAGCAAACAAAAGTGCTTCCAACTGGTTTTGGTTTTGCCAAATATTTAACTCTTTGGGGTAAACAAGACCACAAGCCAAGGGTGGCCTGATACAATTGAGGGCCAAAAGGCACTCAGTGTTCACCCACAGGTGGGTACTCTGCTCAGGCTGCATCCTGGGCAACACTCCTCTGCCTGGCACCTCACCCCAACCCCCAGCTCCTATAATGTTCTGCATTCCTGTGTGTATATGTGTGTTGTAGGTGCCCGTGCCCCCACGAAGCTGCCAGCTGCTGGAAATGCTGGGGAAGCAGCGGGCAGGGACCGGAGCCTGTGGCAGTGGTGCAGAGCAAATCGCATCAGATGCCAGCGTGGAGTCACTTAAACGAGGTAAGAATTAGTGTGGGGCCCTGATGAACTCCCCCTCGGCTGCCAACAGCAGTGTCAGGGAGAGAGTGAGAGCAGAGCTGGGGCTAATTTGATTTCTCAGCTCCGTTAGTGGCTGGCAAGTCACCTCCCAGGGCGTGCAGACAGCTCGGAGCGCTCTCCCCTTATTGAATCTGGGTAATGGAAATCACGGGCAGCGGCGCCGCGGCGCTGGGGACCGTGCCCCGCTCTGCCCCCTCTCCTCCAGCCTCCCCATCCGTGGCAGGCAGGATGCGGCCGAGGGGAGCAGACCGCTCCACTGGAGCCTCTACTGCAGCATCATTAACGCTGAATTTTCTCCCTTGGGTTTTATGTCTTCATCTCAAAGAGATTTTAATGTAGTTCCTATCAGCCCTCCTGTTATCGGATATCTAATTAGCGTGATCTACTGTACCTCGCGCAGGGACTCTTGCGGGACACTTTGTGGGACGGCTGATATCAATCGGTAGCACCCGGATCAGATTTACTTTCCGAAATGGCGTAATGGGATTTTATTAGCCCTGTAATCTGCTGCGTGGTAATTGCTTTTCTGGGAATCGAAGCACTCGGCGCCTGGGGCTTCCCACGGCTCAGCACCACGTCCTGCCCGGGCTCCGCTGCAGCCGGCAGTGCCTGCCCCAGGACAGGAGCTCAGGCCTCTTGCCTAGAGCAGCACACGGTGAGCAGCTTCCCTGGCTGGGCAAGCAGGAGCTGCAGAGCTCTCGGGAGCTGGGCAAAGCACAGGTGCACAGGTACAAGGTCCCAAACATGGGATGGGACAAACGATGCTCTGCATTCCACATCACCCAACCTGCCCTCGGCCCCAGCCCCAGGTGCGCAGCATTGTGCACCGTATTCCCTCAGCAGCTCCCACCCGATGCCCCAGGATGTGGTGGGGGCTGTGGCAGGAGCGCGGCCGGGCTCTGTGCG